GTACTACCATGAGCAGATCAAGCACCAAGGTCGACACATTACTGAGGGAGCAATCAGATCCGCAGGTTTCTGGATCATCGGAGCAAAACGCTGCATAGCGTCGTACATACACGGGTGCGTCATGTGCTGCAGACTGCGAGGAAGACAGCTGGACCAGAAGATGGCAGACTTGCCAGTTGATCGACTCAGTACAGAACCCGCATTCACATATGTGGGGGTCGACGTTTTTGGACCATGGAACGTGACTGCACGTCGAACTAGAGGTGGAGAAGCCAGCAGCAAACGGTGGGCTGTGCTGTTTACGTGCATGAGCATTCGGGCGGTCCACATTGAAGTCATAGAGTCCATGGATGCTTCAAGTTTTATTAACGCTCTCAGGAGATTTTTCGCACTCAGAGGACCTGCGAAACAGCTGCGATCCGACTGTGGAACCAATTTCGTCGGAGCATGTTCAGAGCTCAACCTGAGAACTAGTGGTCTCCACAACGACAAAGTACAAGCATTCCTTTCAAGCCAAAATTGCAGTTGGGTGTTCAACCCTCCTCATTCTTCCCACTTTGGAGGAGCTTGGGAGCGGATGATCGGAATCGCACGTCGTATTTTGGATTCCATGTTGTTGGAACACGGACCGAGCCGTCTCAGCCATGAAGTTCTGGTGACATTTTTGGCAGAAGTTTCAGCAATCATAAATGCTAGACCTCTTGTTCCTGTTTCGATGGATCCGGAATGCTGGGACATCTTGTCTCCGTCTACACTCCTTACCCAGAAGGTTGGTGGAGACACGTTACCACCCAGCGAGTTCAACGTCAAGGATCTCTACAGAAGTCAGTGGCGTCAAGTGCAGTGGTTGGCAGACTCCTTTTGGCACCGTTGGCGACGTGAGTTCCTGACAACGCTTCAGAGCCGTCGCAAGTGGCAGGATAGCCGTCGAGACCTCAAGGAGGGTGACATTGTGCTCCTAAGGGACAAACAGGTTCACCGCAACGAGTGGCCTATGGGTGTGATTGTGAACACTTTCCCGAGTGCGGACGGAAAAGTACGGAAAGTCGAAATCAAGACGGCGACCAGAGGAGAACTAAAAACTTTCCGACGGCCAGTCACTGAGACTGTCCTTCTCATCTCAAAAGAAGACTGATCCAAAACTTCAGTGCGTGTCCAGTTTGTAAACTTTGCGTTATGGTGTCATAGTGGTATCTCGTGATACCAGACGGGGAGTGTGGTGTTACTGCAATCTAGTTGAGTTTGGACTTGCTAGGGTTAGCCGCATCGCGTTGGCATCAGTCTGTGCCGTGTGTGTTTTTCTTCCTTTTTTGTTTTGGACTCGTTCGATCTGGGATCACCATGTAACGCGCTACTACGAAGCACCGTCTTTTACGGTGGTTGTTATGGATATAAAAGTACAGTTTTTCTATGACATCCAGTCGTTCGCTATCTGAGGAGTGGTCGCTCTAAGGCGCGCCATGGAATCAGAATAAAGTGCATGACGCAGAGTCCGGTGTCCTTGTATTTAGTCAAAGGTTACATTGGTGGAAAGTGGCATTCTTTGGGGTTCTCACCCTCTCCCCCTTTTTTTTTTTTGTATCATATCAAAGTGCCTATATAACCAGATTTCGGAAAATAAAAATTGCAGCTGTGTTAGAGACTTTTTAGTGTTGTGTCGTTTACCCGCAGTCTCGGTTTTTTTTCAACCATGTGCAATATACACCAGCTCGTTTGCGCCCTTACTTTTTGTTCATGAATCCTACAAGATGCAAACTTCGCCCCCCATTCGATTATTTCTATGAATTCAGCCCACTTTCCACGAGTGTTTTCCCACTCTCTGTGGGTTCTCTGCAAACTTGGACAACGGATGGCCCAGATGGAAGCGGAGGTGTCGTACATTGGAATGTGCCTCCGACACAAGTACGTCGACCCAACACGATTCGGTCATCTGGCATCCATGCAAGTCGGGTGGCATCGAAAGAAGAGGATCCTCAACGACTGCCGGGACGGCGCAAGAGATCAACTTCGAACTGTGAGTCTTCTATGTGACCGGCTATGGACTGCCCTTCTAGATGGGAACTTTCGCACTTCTTCCATGTTCATTCAGTGGCTTGCACTAAAGAAGATGAACTATGACGTAGCTTTTAGAACTTTTAGACTTAAGGCCCTGTCACACTGCGGAAACACTCGGAGAACTTTGTCCTTCAACACGAGGAAAACATGTTTTCGGGGACCCTGTCACATTGCGGAAACAGCAACAGTCCGGAAACATGTTGCTGTCGTTCGAAAACCATGTTTCCCAACTTGTTCTCCGACACTCGGGGAACATCCTGTCACACCGAGAAAGCGTGTTGGAAGAACACAAATTGCCTCCTCTCCTGCGCGCTGCCTCCCTCTTTCTCTCGCCCTCGTCTGCCCGGCCGGCTCGGCTAAGCCTACAAGCGCGAGCTCCGGGCTTTCAGCATCCCTGCCAAGCACGCGCGCTCGTGTAGTGCAAGCACTGTTCTGGGCCAGATGCTCGCGCTTGTAGCATCGGCTGCGTCTGGACCGACGCTGAAACGAAGTATAGGCGGCTAGGCTCAGATCCGCTGGCTCCGCTTGCCCCTTGAATCGTTGCCATTTTGGATTGCCGTCTCATCGCCGTCGCTCTACCGTAGTCGATTCACCAGCCGCGCGAACCATCTCGTGTTCTCTGGATTTGGCGGTTGCGTTCTGCTACAGGGCTAGACCCTTGCACGATGGCATACGAGCCGGCCACAGCAGCAGCTTCTACTTCGGTGCTTCTTTGTGCCATCGATTCAGATGATTCTGACGATCAGCTGCCGCCGCGCAAGACGCCGCTTTCAAAATGGCCCTTCACACTTGACATTGTCAATTATTGAAGTATTCTCGTGCGACTATCTGTACAGAAAAATATAGATGTTGCCGTGTTGCTGGGAAAAAATTCGCTCAACCACCGAAATAGGCAACACGTGTCGTCCGACACAAGTTGTCGAGGTTTCCGTTGCCAAAAGCTGTCACACCGAGACAACATTGTCTCTGTCGCCCATGTTGTGTTGCTGTTTCCTCAATGTGACAGGGTTGTCGGGCAACAGAGCCGACAGCCGACATGTTTTCCGACTGTTGAGAAACATGTTTTGTTTGTGTTTCTGCCGTGTTTCCTCAATGTGACAGGGCCTTTAGGATATATTCCCGGAAAATGTCGAATCCGGTTTTGTCTTCCGCGTTGTCTGTGCTAAAGAAGGTCGTCAACCCATGTGATGTTCAACTGTCAAAACCGACGGAACGCATTCTTGATAACGGCCCTAAATTTTGTGTAAATATAAAACCGTCCAGGATGGATATTGTATCTGCGATTCATACTGTATCAAGTGCCGTCTCTGACCCGGCGGTAAAAACTGCACTGATAACGTCTTCTTTAAAAAAGATGTCGGATTTGGTTGACGACTCGTACAAAAGCGACCGTAGGGACTTCAGCAAGATCGTCAGTCAAGAGGGAATTAGATGAGAAAAAAGTAGAACTCTTAGAAACCGATAAAGGCCGGTTCACACATACAGCGGAGCGCTAAGTCAGCGCTACGTGAGCGCTATAAGGAGCGCTCATGTGGCGCTTCCTAGCGCGTGATGTAGCGCTCCGTTAGCGCTTCAGCAGCGCTCTGTTAGCGCTACAGAAGCGCTCTATTAGCGCTACAGAAGCGCTCTGTTAGCGCTCCAGAAGCGCTTTGTTAGCGCTCTCACGCTCCTTGTGCCGTGCTTGCTGCTGCGGAACAGCGCGTGCACGGCGATTCCTTTGTTGTTGTTTTTCCTGTGGTGCTGAAAGAAGAGGAAGTAAACGAGCCGCTCTCTAGGCAAAGGGTCGGGCAGGTGAACCAGAGTCATGGACTTTGAGCGACTAATTGATTCCGTACGACCTCATCGCTTCCTATTCGACATGCGTGACCCTGGTTTTAAAGACACGGAGTTAAAAAATAATAGGTGGGAGCTGATCGGCAAAGAACTAGGGGTATCAGGTAAGGTTTTGATTGAAGCGATATACAGGGTGTCACAAAAGAAACTTTACACGGTCTTTTTTACCGCAAAAAATAAACTAGACATCGCCGAACACTCGATCATTATCCGCCCAAAGGTAGCGGTAGAGGTCACAACCACATGCTAAAGTTTCAGCCCGATCCGATAACTTAATCAAAAGTTATAACTGATTTTCTCAAATTTTCAATGGGAAAATGGCGGCCGACGGAGTTTCCGAACACATGGGGCTCTATGGCACCAGAAACCGAAAACGGACAAAAATGGGCCCCATTTTCCCATCGAAATTTTCAGAAAATCACTTATAACTTTTGATTAGGTTATCGGATCGGGCTGAAACTTTGGCATCTAGTTGTGACCTCTAGCTCTATCTTTGGGCGGAGAATGAGCCTTCGGCGATGTCTAGTTTATTTTTGCGGTAAAAAAGACCGTGTAAATTTTCTTTTGTGACACCCTGTACATGCATGGTGTGTGCTCGAAAATAAAAGATAGGGTGAGAAATATAATTGTTCTGGTAATCTTATCTCAGGAATTGAGGCGTCTCAAAAATTTCGAACTATGAAAACAAAATTTGGGAAGTTGAAACGAAAATACGAGGAAAATACGAGGAGCGGCTCTTCCTACACTCCGCCTCCAGCTTGGAAGCACTATCGATCCATGGATAGCCTGTTGAGAAGCTGGGAAGTACCAACAGAGTGGTAAGTACGGTTCATATACATCGAGTTCAATTTAAACGTGTTCAGAAATGTCTTCATTCTTTTAGGACACTGTCAAACCTCAGCCCTTCAGCGAGACCTTCTGTCAGCTTGACCGAAGACCACCCTGCTCATGACAGCGTGTCTTCTCTGATGTAAGCATTAATTTTAATATTTAGACGTGACACATTTGGTCTCATGCCGCGGGGTACATTGCAGCAACAACATGACAACTCCCGGTAAGGACAGCGGAGTAGAAGAAACTCTTGCCAAGTAAGTGACTAGCACTGTCGAACTATGCGCCACCACAATAGCGTCTCTGGGTGCTGTGCATTTGGTCTAGAATGCATATATGAAGTACCACATACATGTCTATTGGTAGAAAATGAGTGCAATTTTTGTACTCTTCTCGAAAGAAAAATTTTAATTTGCAGCTCCGAAACTAGTTCAACAACGGAGATTACAGAAGACACGTGAGCTTGGTTTTCACTCTATTTATTGCACAAGATGAAAGACTACTAAAATAACATTATTTCTTCCTCCAGGACAAATACCTTAGAGCAAGGACGCGGCGATACGTAAGTTTTGGTGTTCTTTGTTTAGTTATTTTGAGTTTTTATATTTATTTTCATAATGTATGATTATTTATTTGCCGGTAATTTCTTGAGGGCGGCAGATATGGACATAGAGACAAAACAAAATTGCTGATACCACGAAGTGTTTCTTTTTATCGTACGAACAACCAAATTGGTTTTAAAAGCCAAGATTTTTTAAACTGAATTTGACGTTTTCGCTTCATTATTTACGCTTTTATTAAAGAAGTAGTATCTGTAATAAACACTTTCATTCCGAGCTGCCGTAATCCGGCATGTTCTTTTACAGAGCTCCACAAACAACGGGCAGAGGAACAACGAGGTATATGCTTGCAGATTTTTATGGTTGTACAATCTTATACTTTTCCTTTTTTAAATGTATTCCTGCGTGGCTGCGACCAAAAGATACGAGTCCCAAGGTTCTGCCGTATATATCGGTAGAACTAATGATCGACGTGACGTCCACAGCTCTCCCTTTCAGAACTCATAGTTATACTGCTGCTAAACGAATCAAATCGTTTCGCATCCGGGATGAAAACCGCAAGGCTAGGAAGCTTTGCTGATTTATGTATATTACTGAGTCAAAAAACGTTTTATGCTAGAAAAAAAAAGAAAAACAACAAGAAATGGAGTATGAGAGGAGTGCACCGATCCTTCGTGCCTTTTTCTTGACGCCATTATTGAAATTTATAAAGTGTAGGGTGAGGTAAAATAAAAAGCAGTTGTTTGGTTTTCCATTTTACAGTGTCGCACTTTATAATAACATCCTTTTATAATAACGCGTAAAAAGATAATTATGTGAAAATATAAAACATATGAAAACCATGCAACATATGTCAAGAAAATAAACTTCTTCCTATTGTTCAAAATATATATTACAGACAAAGACGAAGCCAAGACATCGTATACTGTATCAAAGAAAATCTCCGAGGATTGAACGAAGCAAGGCTGGCGCAGCAGATGACTCGCCAAAATGACGACTTTCATCACTTTGGAATGATGGTGGCCGAGCGCCTGAGAAAGATGCCTAGGCTGCAGGCCTTAAGGGCAATGTCCGTTGTGCAACAACAGCTGTTGAACTACGAAGAGGAACACCTCATGAACCAATAAATCTAACTCGCTCTTGTGACAATCTTGTTTTGCCACTTGACAGAACCTTGACCAGAGAAATAGTCTGCAAAATCATTCCGAACTTGAGCCGCTGGCTGGTCATGTTTGGCTGAGCTGGGCAAGCGAGGGAGGTGTTGAAGCACTGTGCGCCCTTCAGTGTTTTCTGCTCCGCTTGGCCCTTCAGCCAAATGCTTGTCATTTTCCCTCTCAAGAAGAGCTGGAAGGCAGTAGATGCTTCGGCTGTGGACCTCAGAAAGCAGAAAATTGTGAAGGGCAACACAGGCGCCTATGTAGGCAACAGTGTTCTTTTCAGATGCTTTGAAAGTTCTTCTAAAAATTCTCCACAGGTTTGAGAGGATTCCAAAAGCATTTTCTGAGACCCTCCGTGCTCGGGACAGTCTGTAGTTAAATACACGCTTCTTGAGCGCTTCTCCCTTGCCTTCGTCGTTCTGGTCTTTGTTGATATCCACTTTGGGGTATGGTTTCATTAAATATGTTTTCAGAGGAAATGCCTCATCTCCGACTATGACGAATGGCATTTCTTTGCTTGTCCCGGGCAGGGACTTCGATGGAGGGAAGCCCAATGTGCCCTTTTCCAGGCTCAGTCCGATCTCACTCCTTGATAGAATGCCGCCATCGCTTTCACTGCCGGGTCGGCCAATGTCCACCAGCAAAAAGCGGTACCGGGCGTCAACGACAGCCATTAGGACCTGAAAAATATAATACAAGTGTATATTAGAAAGTGTGCTGGTCAACCAAGTAATTCAAAACAGAGTTTTATAATGTAGCGAGTAAACCGTTGGGTAAACTTCCAAAGTGATAAACACAGAAGCGTGAGGGAGTTCGTGATTTACTTATAAGAAAGACATGCAACATAACTACGAAGAGGCTGTTGCCTGCCTTTCCTGTCAGTATTCTTATTTTGCGATGTATGTCTTTAAATTTCATCACTTTTCTGGATGCAATATCTAGAAAAAAAATCCAAGTTATCACGTGAAAATGATATGGCTCAATTTACTTTGCTGAATGTGTGCTTGTAGTTGAAATGTGTTGATCCACTCAGCAGCGGGCACTCGATGGTGATGTGCTTTCCGTCCATGGCGCCAACACAGTTTGGAAAATTCCACAACCTGTGAAAGTCGTCAGCAACAGACACCCATTCTGGTGGCGAGCCCGGTTTCTTCACGTAGTTCGGAACGAGACACTGCCATAGAGCCTGGCACGTGCTTGAAATTATCACGCTCGTTGTTGAGTGCCCGGTGAGAAATCCAAATGATATGCTTTTTTGGGTATCTCCACTTCCAAGGAACCTATGAGCACACATTACATAATGATCATTACTTTGAAAACTAAATATCAGCCAAATAAAGATACTGCATTTCAAAGAAAAGCATGTGCATTGCTTAGGTTAATATATGGCATCTAAATGACGTCACTGATAGCCGTACTTGCGCCCTCCGCTTACAGCACAGGCTCAGAAAGAATAATATTTTATCGTCTGCCAAGAATGGCAGTCTTGATCAGTGATCTCTATAATCACTTGTTGGATCGAGCTTACTGCCCCGCAAATGCGACCACCGGTCGGTTATGTTTATGGGCATACCAACACGGCCGACGAGACATTGCGGCGACTGCTATAAAGGTTAGAATCGGTGAAGCGCAGCACTGGAGGAGGGCAGCACAAGCAGCCTCCACAGCGTCTGCGATGCCCATGTTGTTATGGCCAGAATATAGCCGACCCGGTGGCCACAATCGCGTGCAAGCGCGCTCCAGCAAATTGTCATAGAGATCAGTGGTATCGATGGTGTGGGTGTACGTTCTTGAATAAAAACTGAGGTCCCCGTTAGCGCGTGCTCAGCAACAACAACGTAAACTCCCTCGATAAAAGAAAAAAAAAGAAACATTGAGGGATTTTACAACGACCGATGACATCTTGGAAAATTTCCTTCCCCATCGCTTTCTATGTTTTTGTAAAGTGCACGCGCTCCGGTGTCACCCGGCTCGAGCGCTGAGCTTTATAGTCAGTGCTTTGAAGCATAGCCTCCTCATTTCTTTGGCCAATGTTTGTATATATCTTTTCTTGGCACGTGCAGGCGGCATTCGGTACGACAAAGGATGTCTTCACCCTGTCAGACAGACGTCGAGGAACGCGATTCCGCCAGTGAATACTATTTGTAAACACCCAGCGCATTTCATAGCACCCATAAAAAGACGCATGACCTTAATACTTGTGCCTTCAAATATTAGGATTCTTATTATCGAAGCACCTTCAGTGAAATACTACATATTGAAATTGTTTTCGAATTCAGAAAGTTAAATGTTTCACGGTGTTTGCTCTGTTGCCACGGTAGAATTGTTCGAAGTATTTGCGAGCGAGTAGTGCTTTTAGAAATGAAGCTCGCGTACCTCAGTGTCAGCATGAGCCGTTGGTCAGCCGGGATGCTCTGCCGCCATCGTGTGTCTTGTCGAGTTATCAGGGGGCGGACCATCTCGAGTAGACTGGTGAAGCTAGCGGGCGTCATACGTATACAAAGCTGGAAATGTAATTGCACGTCTATTAATTTGGGTTCCTGGCTGTAAATGAGGAGGACATTCATGATTTATGATTGTTTTATTTATGCAAGAACTAACACTCACCTTCGAAAAAGCTCCGTGTCTCGGTCCCTCAGCCTAGGAACAAGGTTCGCCGGGTACCCGTCGGTATCTCGGTGCCGAAAGATTTCACGAACCCAGAAGGCTCTTCTTGGCGTTGAGCCGTCAACACACATATGCACTAATTGTGTATGCAACAGCATTTGTCGCATTTCTATCTCAGCATCCCACATGTCCGCCATGGTGCTGCTTAGTGCCACTAAATAAGCTACGCTTCAGAGTAACGACACTTGGCCATATTGTGTCTTAAAATCATGGTTGCCAGTTATCTGAAGCTTTATCTGAAATCACAGGAAACGCCTTTCCGCCCTCCACAAATGTTTAAACAGTTTGTAACAGAGCAAAGCAATATTGCGTGACCTTCTTAACAACGAATCTAAATCTGAGGAAGTCGCACTTTTGTATCATGACGATCGGCAGTTGCGTCTGCTCTGCATACGAGCCAAAATGGCAGCGCCCACAACAATGCCGGGGAACGGAGTGCCGATACTCTAAGCGCAGCTCATTTAGGGACTCTAGTGCTGCTGATGCCCACCCAACCACAGGAACCGGAACCGCAGTGCACGCGCTAATCCGCAGCACCGCGGTACAAGGAGCGCTAACAAGGCGCTACAGGAGCGCTAACAGAGCGCTACTGAAGCGCTAACAAAGCGCTACAGAAGCGCTAACAAAGCGCTACAGAAGCGCTAACAAAGCGCTACAAAAGCGCTAATCGCGCGCTATATTAGAACTAAGTCACGCGCGAGAAGCGCCACATGAGCGCTCCTTGGAGCGCTCACGTAGCGCTACAGAAGCGCTCCGCTGTATGTGTGAACAGGCCTTAAGTCGGGTTTGTTTTCAGTGTTACCAGTGTTGGAGTTCCGAAGGAAATCAGACGAAGCCATGGCGGGGTTGTTTAGGCCGTTTGACGGTTGTTTGAAAAAGTCCAAAAGGGAAATTGTGAGGGTTAAAAGGACGCCGATCTAGCAGCTTTGACCACCAGAATTAATAATGTTTCTAAAGACACGTTTGGCATTAAATTTTTCCTTAAAGATCATAAGGTAGATCTTCCTCTAAGAGTAGTCATAAACGAGAATGGCACATGGCAGAAAATAGTGTCCTCATTTCTTCAGAAGACTCTCACGATCTTGGATACTAGATCCCCGTTGTCACTGCGTTGTTCTGATGATTTAGTGGCTGAATTGCAACCTTTCCACGGAAAGAGGTGCACAATCTTTTCTCTTGACATAAAAGATCAGTACTATTTTTTAGAACCTAAGACGTTATTGGCTAGGGTCAGCAGCTTTTTGGAAGAACATCTGGTCAGTTTCCAGTCGCAGTCGGGGATATCTGTTCAAGATGTTCTCAGGATTTTAGAAGTGTACCTACAGGTTTTCCCGCTCATTTGAATCCAAGCGACGACCAATTTAATCCCGGGGTCACTCAATTTAATCCAAGCGCCATACAATTCAATCCAAGCGCCACACAATTTAATCCCGGGGTCGGTCAATTTAATCCACAATATATATATGCACTTACCGTGTTCAGTGGTCCTGTTTCGCTTACACATTTGATTACTTAGAACAATTGTTTATACAATTAGAATTTTTGGGGGGCAATTGAGAATTTCATCACTAATATGATTACTTTGAGTTACTAATCCCTCTATTGACGAGGCTTAATTGATATGTTGGTTACTCTTTTTAGAGCTCAGCTCTTAGGCACCCGTTTGCGGCTTAAAGGGATACTGAAGCGAAACTTGAAATACACCTATTATGGTCAGAAATAGGTTCAATATGATCAATGATATTCATAAATCATAATCGCGCGTTTGTATTTTGAACGGATGGCTATATTTTCCACCCTAATGGGCCCGATTGGGCGCGCGCTCAAAAATCGGCCATCGGAGAGCGCGATGCGTCTTGGGATATTGGGCGCATTCGTGACGTCACTTGTGCCAGACGGGAAAGGCTACGGCGTGAATGTTGTGGTTACGAGCGTTGCCACTTGGTGGCGCGTCGACGATTTACGACTTGTGACAACGTGGCCGTTTGAGATGTGCAAGGGCTGCACGCACGCTGCACCACGGCAAGTCGGCAACCACGGCGCAGCACTGACAAAACCAGGCTCCAGCTCTGAGGCCGGATTCTCAAAGCGAACTCACGACGAAAAAGTGCGTACGACAAATTTGAGAGAAAACCCGTACTCTCGAAACGAAATTGTCGTAACCTTTGCGCAGGTTACGACAGAATCCTACGACAGCTCCGAAGCTGTCTTACGCACTTTTTACGATCAAATCAACAAGGCCGACAGCGTCGCTCAGTTACTTGGTATCGGCCACCAACGGACATTTATTTTTCTACGTGCTC